AGTTTTAATTAAATATCTGATGCATATAGAATATATATTAGAAAATTTTATATTGTAATTTATTGCATGTTACATAAAACTGTTCCATATGATTAATTATTAATGTTATTTATTACTATGCAAATAGTTCTCGGATTAGGGTTGAATATTGAGAATGACTTATGTTTATGTATAATTCGATAGTAGAATACATAACTAATGTTATCGCATAATTTTATTTTAAACAATGAAATATGGAGATTTCAATCCTTGAAATGCGTAAAAAATCCACAGATGATGTCCATTAATAAATTGATAACATAAACATACATAAACATAAAAAAACATACGTTTTTTATCTTTCGTAATGTCATAGGTTGAATAAATAAATTATTATATCAACTGTTCAGAAAATAACCTCTTTGTCTGACATGAAGTGTAAATACAGCCAAAGAGGTTGCGTACTGGCCACCGAGACTTTTACTTGGTTTGTTAAAGAAATTATGTAGTAAAAACAGAAGAAAAGGAAGCGTATAACAGTTAGTTCAGTTATTTATTGTAAATATGTAAATAAGTTAAAATAAAGTTGTGGAGGTTTAAATAAATGTTTCGTATTTTTGGCTGCCGCGCTGTCGGTAACAAATTAAACACAACTGCATAAAATTTTCATTGAAATTGTTAGAAGTTGTTGCCGAGATAGCTGCATGTTCGATTGTAACAACATTATTTAGTTGTATCAATAAAATATGTCATAGTCATGGTAATATCTAACAAAAAGCAATAATCAATAATGTTGTCAGGGCGCAAGTTACCGCGCCGGCTGTTACGATGAAACTCAATTTTGTGTCAAGTGTACGTTTTAAGCAAGTCTATCGGAACTTTCACTTTCACGCTTTTTGTCATTTTTTTATCCATATAATCGACTCGACCAATGAACGTAAATGTCTTAAAATAAAATCTTATCCATACGCCTTTTTAATGATTTTATAACGCCGATTTAACACCAAGAATTATTTAAATATAAATACTAATGAAGACAAAATAAATACAAGTCAACGTCCTTTTAGTTTAATTTTGCGGAAATGGTAATATTTGACATATTCATTCGTACATCTTCGTCGATTAGTAGTAAGGAGTAAAAGACATAAACGAGTCATCGTTTTAGAAACGCCAGTCTAAAACTTTGATGTATCAAAAATCGTTAGAAAAGTGAAGGTTTTAACAATTGTTTTTAAACAGTAACTATTTTTTAACATATGTTACAATAACAATGTTATTTTAATTGATAGCTATGATGTTATAGGTCGCGGGTTATTGCACATTCTTATTTGAAACACGTAATCGTTGACATGGAATCTGTCATTACATGTGATGGGTACTATCCCGGGACTGGCTACAGTTAGCATAAGAAACATTAAAGAAGTGCTGCTGTTTTACGGTATTCTAAGTAGTTCCGTTTAGCCAACTCATTTGTGGATAAGTTTTTTTACTACTTTTAAATTATTTTTAAGTTTTCGTATGTATTTAGTACTGGAAAGTCAATCGTTTCTTCTAAACTCACAAATTCTTTCAACATTACTTTAGAGTAGAGGTGTTAGATTATCAAATGTAAATTATTAACACCATTCTCGAAATTTAGATATTACATTAAGACGGCAAAATATCTGGACAGCATTCTCCGGAGACAATTTATGGTGACTATTAGCTCTAACCGCGACTACTAAGCGATAAATAAAGTTGTCCGGACAACTCACTTCAGTTGATTGTAATCTTCGCTTAAAACTATGGCTTCAACTAACAGCAGGGCGAAATGATTTATTGTTACAATAAGATGCCCTGCCTAGTGCAAAAAATTTATAGCTCGAGAGTCTGGACAGTTGCGTCGCGAGGGAACCGGTTAGCCGGCTTTACTATGCAATGCCTCGCAACAGCCGTGAACCAAAGCTTTATCATTAGAACAACTAAGCTAAGGGTAGCTCGTAAGTGAGCAATGCTTTTGTAATAATAAATTAATTTTTAAATTGCATAACAATGTTTTAAAGAAAAGGTGCAATTTTAAATTTCTTGTATTTAATATTATAATGTAATAATTTTCTACGAATTAAGTTTTAAATTATTTGCGTCCTTTATATGTCGCGCTTATTATTATGAATATCTTGACATTTCAGCAATTGATTTGAATGATTTACTTTCATATTTTAAGGTATTCGAAAGGACAATATGTCCTGATACAATATGATATGAAGAATATCACTGTTTTTTATCTTTATATCAGAACAGGTTACATTACATGCGGCGCGTGAAACAATAGTTCAAGGTAAATATAGACTGTAAATTGTTTAGGAATGAAGGTCCGGCGAATCAGCGAGTGTGACGGATATCAGTAACGAAGAGCGGCCGGGAGTTCGCGGCGAGGTCGTTGCTCCTCCGAGGAGTTGCACTCCTGCCCTCGCCTGCCCTTCCCTGCCCTTCCCTGCCGCCACCCCCGTGACACCGTGTCTTTAGACACTTTTGTTCTTCAGACAAATGCCAACTAAAAAATATGGACATACAAAAAGTTGTAAAACACGAACGTTATGATACGAAAATAAACGTATATAGAATTAATATTTTAACCGCGAAAAAAATCTTTCCATCTCACATAAAATCTAAAACCCTAATCGATTTTAAATATTTCTCTGTAATTTCCATATTTTTATGTAATGCTTGTTTTAAGGAATTAATCGATCTATCCTTTAAGTTTAATAAATGGTTAATGCAATTATTGTCTTTGCTTAGGAAATCTTTGTTTAAAGTTTGTGGTTTGCGACCACTAATTTCGCTTTAAAACCTGTTTGGTAGACCGAATTTATTGATACCGCTGTTATTGTTATTTTGACCAAATTCCATACCCTCAAGTATAAAGCACTATTTGAAATAAATTTAGATTTCATATTTACATTAAGAAAATAAAATAATTTATCTTCTGACGCTAACAAACCTTGAACCTGCAATTAAGTGAGTTTTCGTCCATATCATTTAAAACAATGCGGCTGCTTTTTGTGATTCTTTGTTAATTTAATCTGCTTCAAGGGTAAAAAAGTAAAATTGATATTTCTTTTTTTTTTTAAATAAAAAAAAAAAACTTATTCCTATAAGTATGTAATTCTGCTAAACGTGTACTGTATTATTGGAAATAAATGTCAATACAATTGGAAAGGTTCAAAGTAGGTTATAAGGATCCCGTTTTATGGCATTCGGTATGGGCAATCCGAACACAAGTGTACACGACTCCGGCACGTGATTGATGTACACCATGGAAATTTGAATGCAATTGCGGTGACACACATTTTATAACATTCCAACAAGACTTATGATCTGTTACATGAACTAGCAATGTTACACTTGCATTGTAACGTAATACGAGATTTATACGATAAAAGCCTTATCTTTGTAGTCGTTCTATTTAAAATTTAATTTACGAGAGTCCATAATTATAATTTATACATATGTCTGAAATTAAATGATTAAATTATTAGAAATAAAAAAGTGAACAAATTAAATTCCTTAAATTTTTTCATTCATTAAATCTAACATTTAATTCCATGATAAACATATTTTTGGCAATTGCTTAGACGATTACTAAAAGTTTACATGTATTTTTGTAATTGCAAAACAATACAAGGTAAACATCTTGGACGTAAATATAATATATTTTATGACAAACGATTGTAACAATCTTTATAGGTTAAAAGGTTCATGAAATTCGCATCTATAGTTATTGCTCCACAAAGGAAGCACACAAAGTGTTAGTAAGGCTTCGTATTTTTAGGTCAATTCCGGATGATGAGTATTTCCTCTTTGCTTTCCGTTAACTATGATCCGATTGTCCATTGTATAGATAATAGCTTCGCTTAATGTTGTCGCTTACACCTGTTGTAGTGATAGTATCACATGTAATTTAGAAATTGATGAATAAGGTTTCTCTAATTTAGCTTCCATGCGTTTGAGACAAGAGCAACATACTTTAGGTAACTTTTAAGTTTTCAATAGAATTTTTTTTGCCAATTTTTTTTTTTGAATTTTGCCAATAACATTTTTTTAATGTTCCCTATTTAAATAGTATGTATGTATGTATTACATATGTATTGTTAACAATACATATGTAATGTATTGTTAACAATACATATGTAATACATAGATATAAGTTATATGATAGCATATAAAAGACATTACTAGTGATTGTTGCTAATCACTTTATGTACCAAAGTCGGCGAGAAGTGAATCATTTATGTAATTGAGATTGCTTCGGCCATCATCTAACTTATCTTAAATGCTTATGTAAAGTACAATCATCTAATTACCATATCTTATCTGTCCATTAGTAAATGGCATGTTATTTGACTACGTGTTCCAGTATAGCATCCTCATAAGTGTCTAGTCATCGTATATTACTCTTAAGTCTAGTCTTTTCATGACTGTCAGGTTTATGACGCACTGTTATGACACTAGATATATATAATGACGTAATTTGCACACATGCGTACACATACTGCGTTGGCAAATAATAATGAGTGTTGCATTTTTGCCTTCAAATGTGAATTGCGATGTACGTAACTCAACAAATGTCCCGTGTGAAAATCTTGGAGACGTACTCGTACTCATAGCTTATATAAAATATCTAATATATATTTATTTATTATGTTGCTTGTAGTGAGGCACTTCTGGCCTCAAATTTTAGTATCAAACAAATAAATGGCACGTAGTTCCAAAGTTCAACTTTGTTTCCCTACAATTCGTTATTTTAATTTAGTTTTATGGTAACTAGAGAATGATGACATTTATAATAGCTAGAAATTAGTTTCCTAATCAAATATCTCGCATTTGCAAAGATTTAAATGGTCAAAATAAGCAATCTTCAACTCGCATGGTAAAAAGTCATTATTATTGTTCAGTTTAACTCGAGAAAAGATTGTTTTATTTATTTATTGTCTTGAGTGTATTTGTAAAGGTTTTTTAACTAATTAGCTGTTGTATTTTAGCTGCACGATGTATTCGACGTCCACGGCGTCGACAACCACGTCGGGTTCACGCGGCGAGCCTGCGGTTGGCCCGGTGGAACGGCGCGTGCGCGTCGTGCGCTTGCTGCGGCCGCGCCGCGCCGCACCCGCGTTTGGCTTTGCACTGCGCGGCGGCCGCGAATACGCTACCGGATTCTTCGTATCCAAAGTTGATATAAACTCCGAAGCACATCTGCAAGGATTAAAGGTTAGTTACATTACAAATCTAAATAACTATTTATAACTTAATTTGCATAATAACAGCAAGAACGAATCGTTTTAGTTGGTTCAGTTGTCAAGTTATTGAAAGCAGTTTGGTCTTTGAATTTTAAATTGATAATTTAAAAGCTAACAATTTACTGTATAGGTGATACATGTTTTAATGTACGATTGAAAACAATCAATCTATGAATGTAGTTAGCACAGTTGTTGTTCTAAGTTCCTACCGATTTTTTTCGCAGCCGGATTCAATAGAGCATTATCTCATTGTCTTCTGTCTTTGTACGCACTTGGCCAAGAGAGAAAATTGATTCAACACCACGCGACATGTGAAGCGTTGTGCAATTTCTCACGTTCGAGTCCCAGTGCTGGGCCAACGTAAACGCGTCGAACAATTAACTCAGTGGGCTAGTTTGCCGGCTTCACATTTGCTCGGTTCCGAGGCTGAATTGTCGCAAGACGCATACCACTCTTGTTAATGTTTTTTGTCGCTCACGTAACACTGTTGTTTTCTTTGGTATAGAGGGCTATCCAATCCCTAACTCGAAGTTTTTCTTTTGCTTTAATATTATTCTTGAGAGTGTCCAAAAATTTTATAGCAACCTGTCAAAGTAAGTATGTTTTATGTCCCTAATTTGTTACTAAAAAAAATTGTACACAATTAAGTATTGACAAGTAACGGTTAGGGTTATTATGGCTCCAGTGACGATAAAAATCCCGAATAAAACCAGTTAAATATTAAAAATGTCTTTTTAAACAAACAAGTTTTTATCATTTTAAATTTGTGGGAACCCTAAAAACCCAACGTCAGGTACGTCCGTTTGTATGATCGCTTTATTTTCGCAATAATTTGGGTCAAATTTCTCATTTACGATTTGGAGTATTGTTAATTGTAATACACACCGGCTTACGTAAGATACGTCTCAGTACATGGGTGTAAGCGTAATCATTATTTGTCAATTAATCATAACATTTATTCGACATCGAGTAACATTGCATTAAGAGAAATCATTTTGTTCGTTGAGTAACTGCAGCTATTAGTTTTCTATTGTTAAACGTTTAGATTAATATACATTCTGACTTTGTTTGAACCGTGAATCTAGAAAAAAAACTCAAACATCAAAGTAGAATTAGAAGACGTTTAAACTCTCTACATTGAATTGATTTTAAGATACCAAAAGCAACGACAGATAAAATTCAAAACGCAGATTTGCATTACTTTATCGCTGATTGGAAAGAAAAATACGTGGAAGTATATTTCAAAGGCTGCCGATATTAAAATTTTAATTCGCATAAATGAATTCCGCAATCAAGTTACAATAAGACAGTTATAATTACAGCAGTAAACACAATAATTCAAATTCGCTGCGGCGTAGTTTAATTTTCGCATAATTACTTCCTAACAATGAAGTTACGAAAATTCATGAGTACATCCGTTATTCTGGCGGCACAATAAGTTGTTCGGCTTTTACAAGAAATCTTGGGAAGTTGGATACTAAAATATATAAACACACCAAAAGTAAAAAGCTTAGAAATCACTGAGCGGCGGTCGTAGAATGTTTTAAAATATAATCACCTAGAAGCTCGTCAATTTTTTAACTATTTTTTGGTGATTTCAAATTCAAATCGTAGAACCTATAGAGCAACGTTTTAAATTTATATCCGTAATATTTACACGAGTCTATTGACTTTATATCCGGTGTTTTTGTATAAAATTATAAATGTCAACAGTAAATAAGCCGCAATTACTTAAGAAAACGGAAACTAAAACACGACTTTAATGCGTGTCGGGTGAAATTTTCTGCGCCGTAGGAGAAATGATTTGAAGAAAGAAAATACCATGTCTCCCGCGAAAACGACGGTAAGTACAGGAAGAAGGCAAGTTGTGTGCAATTATACGACAATTTAGAAATAGCTCAGCCAGCATTGAGACTGCGTGAGTCAGTGTATCTGCGTTGGTCAGCGTCAAACGCCCACTTTCTATACCGTGTGAGCCTCTGTGTTAAATCTTGTGTAATATTTGCTAAAATAGAAAAGCGTTACAATCCTGTGCCATGGTCCGAAGACCAATTTTGAGTTGTTTGTTTACGATAAGCAGTACGAAATCAATACTTTAATTATTATATTCTTGTTGTTTTAATCCCAAAAGTCTATGGATTTTTCAAGACAAAACACATACAGACGAATTGAGAACTGTCTCATTTTGGAAGTCAGTTAAAATACAGAGTTTGTAGATTTACATATGATTTCGTCGGTATTTTATTGAGCTATTGATAAATTCGTATCTAATGCATTCGTAACGCTGTCTTATTTTCCAGTTCGACTTTAAAAATCACTTTTACTTTTAGGTTATAATAATGTCTAGCACTACAACGAAAATTCCAGTTTAAACGAGACACAACACAGTAATGACCGATAGTTGTATAAAATATACAAATTATATTTATTCTTAGGTCAGTGTGCCAACGGCCAGCATTCTACCGGATATTTCTTTCTGCTTATGCATGATATATCCACATTTTTTTAGATTTATAAACATCAAAAAAAATAGAAAGAGGTAAATTATTTTATTCTTATGTAGCTTTTTTCTTATTTCCTCAATTCACAAATCTTACTGGCCAGTGATTTTTGTAATATTCGATTGTAATCAGCAACCATTCCGTTTTAAAAAAAGAATAAATAGTAATACGGTTATACAGTTGGGCAAGTATTGTTAGGAAACAAGAGAGATGGTGGGTATTGGTGTTCAGTGTTTATTGCATCGGTTGCGAGCAATCCAACCGGTTTATTTGCTAACGCTATGAAGATCTGACAGCAAATGCTTCAAGCTCAAAATGTCTTGAAAACATTACATCATCAGTCTAACACATAAATTACTGCACTTAAAAAGAAAACTAATTCTAATATGGTTATAAGAAGCTATTTCTCCTTGAGTTTTACATTCGCAGATGGTCGATCGGGTGTATAGGTTATGCAGCACCTAATCCTAATTGAAACCAGTTTCTGAATAAGGCTATGGAACGCAGAAATCATTAATGGCTCTGTAAGGGACATTACAAGAATTAACGTGGTTTTCATAATTATAGAATCAGCAACAAAGAAATGACATCTTTTTTTCACTTTTGCTGCACTTAAAACATTGTAACATTGTTTCGCATTGTGATTTTTTTTAATTATAAATATTAGTAGATTTTTGGTTATTTACTAACATTTACTTTAAACACTCACACTAAGCTCTAGGCTTGTGCTAGTTCACTAGGTTCACAATAATAGTCGAACTGTGGGATTCGAACCCTTTACCGCAAGTTCGGTAGTCCGTCTTCCAAATCCAAACCATTAAGTTATTGGCGGTTAATTTTCATAAACAAATTTATAATTTTGTATCAGTAATTAACTTAATTTACACATAATAAAAAAAACGTTTTTTCTTAGCATATTATTCTTTCTAGCGTATTCTAACTTCAAAAAACAATATCGACGGATTATTAATAACGTCTAGTCTTTTTATGAAGACACCAGACGTCAAACAAACCACACAGCTGGTACAATAAAGCGGGCTTTATCACTCACTGAGTCATCGATAAGGTGTTAACATTTGAACACTTCGTGAGCACAAATGAACCACTTGACAATGAATTTTACAAGTTGTGTTGACATAATATAGTTTGTTAATTTATTACTTTACGTAGATTCGGAGATTCTTTTTTAGCATTTAATTAAAAATTACAGCCCTCTGTAAGCCAATATAAAAGTAATCTCTGATACAACATTTGTAGTAGTAGAAATAACGCATCAACTTTTTTAAATTGTTGAAGCTTATTAAAACTGCTTAGTTGTTGAGATAACATTTTTATCAATAGGTTAACCTAAGCCGATAATGAAAGAAAGGCTTTCATTCATTGCAAATTCTTTCATTTCTAGTCAGTGAATAGGATTTGATTGACGCGTGTTTAATAACATGTTTACCCGTTCCGTTTAGAATTGTCATATGAATGATTTTTTATCTAGCTATTTTCGCGCATGACCATAAATCACATTGTAAAGAATGTACAGTAAGTTTTTTTATATAAGATAAGGTGGCAAACGAGCGTACCGCCACCTGAATCCGCCGAAATGGCGAAGCGACCGCTGCCCTAAGACATCCGCGATGCGTTGCCAACCCTTAATCGACTGAGGAGGAGACGCACATATAGAGGATATTTCCCCATCCTATGCGTCTCCACCGCCGTCAAATACACATTCCCTTCCCATCCTTTCTCATAAAAAGAGTAGGAAGGAAAAGGGACAAAAGTTGTACCTCCGGACCACAGTCATCCAACGAAACGCGGAATTTCTCCTACTTTACGCCTGTCTTCTGTGTGGTCGTGGTATTGCATCGGACAAGCCCACCCATTTGTGCGAAGATATTAAAACGGGCTCTACCACTGTTTCAGGTGTCAAAAGATCGATTTGTGCATTCAAAATATTTTCATTTCTTTAAATTCCTTTTAAAAAATGAGATAAAAGACGTTATATACGTAGTATGTTGAAGCAGTTAAAAACTGACACGGATATTGTATTAATGAGCTAACGTCGCTGCACTAATCGATTTAAATGCGGTCGGTGCGGTTTTCTCGAACCAAATTCGATCGAAATAACATCGCTTCTCACAACTGTTATAAATTCACTGTCAATTATCCAAGCCTGGGGCGTACATAAATTGTATTCTGTGTTTGTACTGATAACGGTATAAAATGAAGTTATTGGTGCAGGTATAATGAAATCGATTATAAATGTCATGTTAAACCTTGTTGAAACATCTTGTGAACCCCTAAATCCAAAATATACGAATATTTATTTGTCATGTCTTATTTCAGTGTTACGTAATGTAGACCTACTAAAAAGAAGACTAGTCTCGGCTAAGAACTGTCTAACATATAAATAAGTTTAAAGTATCGTTAAATAAATTTTAATTTAGCTTTAAAAAAAAGTAGCCTCGATATGAAGAACGTTCCTTTGGTAAAGTACCGACGTATAATAATATGCCCGCCCTTCATTAATCAAGAATTCGTAATCCATCGAGTCTCCCGCGTCGAGATAAAAAAAACAAGGAGGTGGATCGAAAGTCTGATCGAAAGTTGCCAGCTATGTGGGCCACGACTGTCCGGCTTGGCCGAACGAGAAGAAAGTGCTCCTCTCTCGTCACAAGCCAACGCGTCACCACCTCGCGTGGGGCTCTGACGTCACCCTTCATTCATCAACCCAATCGCGATGAAACGATCACATCACTAAAACTCGAATCTAATCGCACGCGATGCCTACGTCACGTTAGTAAATAACTTCAAGTATACTGGTTCTATAATAAACATATAGTAAATGCTATGTATTTTACAAAAAATTTGATGCCGGTTAGCTAATTATATGGAAATTTAAAACATCACTTAATTATTATCAGAAATTATTATTTGCATTGAGATCACGTTCTTGTTAAATTTCACACGTCGTTTGTCGCCGTTTAGTGTTAACCCAGTTGTTTATATTCCGACACTCTCGTGTCATACACTTTCTGAATATAAACATGTTTACTTAAACACTAATGTTTGACTTTATATGTTGAAAATTCACTTAACTCCAGCTCAGCTCCAGCTTAGCTCTCTAACTCCACAAATTTGTTATTGGTTACTAAGGGACAAGGTTATTCATACCATTACACTAAAAGAGATTACTTAAAGTTCAAAGTAAGCTTTGCGGCAGTATAGGTTCTTATTGTTATTAGATATTTGTATCCTTAGGTTATTCTATTTTTCAACCACTGACACTGCAGGGTTTCGTACGTAAGGTCACGTACGACCAGAACTCTCCAGTGTGGCGGCTTAGAACCTAAACAACTGAAGCGATTTTGATGTATCATATAATCATTTTTATTTTATGAAGCGTTAGTAAGTTTGATTGATGTTTTAAAAGCCACAACCAGGTATTGTATTTAGGGTCTGTCCCACCACCGGCTGATAGATGCTCAGATGGCTTAAATAAATACGTCACTGCCAGATAAGGGAACAAAATCCGATATTTCCATCACATATTTTGCACGTTGGATTTTTATCTGACAATTTATAATTTGGTAGGACAGGCTCTAAGTACTTTTTTCATTTTCGTATTTCATGTATGTTCTTGCGTGTTCCAGGTGGGCGATCAAATAGTGAGTGTGAATGGATACCGGGTGGAGGACGCGGTGCACTCGGAGCTCGCGCACTACCTCACCTCTCAGTCCCGGCTCAAGATTAAAGTGCGACGTAAGTTATCTATATTATTAAACCATTATTTCACTAATGGTCGGTTTCCCATCTACATTAAACCATTCGATACTGTTTTTGGTTCGATAACTTCATAAAATGCGTTTCCGACTAAGTAACTAAAGTTTTTCTCAGTTGAATCTTAGGTCAACCTAAAACTAATGAGTCATTCGGTAATGATAAAGTAAATGGAAACTTCAGCGAAGCAGTATAAGCGAGTTGAACTGCGTTAAACCGCCATTTTGTATTTCAACCGCGCTAATAGAAAAAGAAATCGGAAGTTTGCCTTTAAGTTACGTACATTATACCGACTCTTGTCAATTTTAAGTCATATAAGAGCATTTGCAGATTTAATCTAAGGATTATTATTGTCACTGTTTGTGAAACGAACAGCTAAGAAATCAACACTTACAATATAATTGCAGACGCATACAGCAAGACGGTAGAATGGGTTTGGAATGTTTTATGTCTGCGTTTACAAGTGCGTTATTGTTTGTTATCCGATTTAACCGATCGTTGATCCCACAACAACGCAACTCATATTGACCGTCTGAATCTAGTGACGTAATTGTTTGATCAACTTTTGAATTCACTGATCTATTTTCATACAATAACAATCTTAACTTAAGGTTGTAACCCTGAAAGGTAAACGGTGACTATGATCTTCAAATTGACGCGATCCTGACAAACCTCTTTCGCTTCTTTTACTTTCATATATCTACACACATGCACGTCAGTTTCGAGTGGTCTTGATACCATCCTTCTTAAATATTTTATCAATCTATATCTATACTAATATAAAGAGAAAAGATTTGTATTTTTGTATGTATCGAAATAACTCAAAAACTATGTGGCTGATTTAGAAAATTGTTTTACCGTTTAAAGGTAATTTATCTGTGAGTAATATAGGCAATTTTTTTTTAATTTAACAACTAGTCTAAAGTCCGTTGGGATAGCCCCGACTAACACTGCCACTCAATGTCGCCTTTTTTAATCTTCTTGTTGTAAAACATAACTTCTTTAATAATATATGTAACATTAGTTTCTTTGTTTCAGACGTGGGCATGATTCCGGTCAAAGAGTGAGTACAAGTTTTGAGAAGATCACGTTTTAGTGTTATAAATGAGCAACACGACAGCACATCCGCTGCGCTCCCGGTTTTTAGTTATAATTGAAAACGTGTTTGTGAACATCGCTACAGGTTCCTTTAATTTATGAGAATGATCCACAGTCACGCAACTTCACGATGTTTATAATACATCAACACCAAAACAGGCATTAGTTTTTAGTGTAGCAAGTAACCCGTTACACACAAGTTTCATACACGGTAAGGAAAATAAATATATTGAACACATATTTTAATAATAAACAATAAGATTTTCCCACAACAAACTTGTGACGATCACACATACTGATAACTTCTTCGAATTAAAGGTGATTTTCACTGCTACCATCTTAAATTCTTTATTTGCGTCATATCCAAAATCAATTTGTAAATCAAATTCTCTAGAATACTACACCAAATATTTACATTAATTACCACGCGCTTGCAAATATTTTGTATAACATACATTGCTTATTGAAGTCTGAAATAGCAATGTATAAAACAAAACATAAACTATACGCCATTCAACACACCGGCTTTGTTTATATTGTGACCGTACAATGCTGTTTTGATAACAATTTGTGTTGCTATATAGCGTTCTTGTGAATCCAACGCTTGATCACTTCTCAAGGAAGCAAAAAATAAATAAACAACCAATAAACAACTTTGTGGTTGTTATGGTCTTTTTAATAGACAGATTTTAACAAGGAACCATGTAGCAGTTGCCAAATATGTAATTCGTTCTATCAAGAGTCAATATAAAAGGTGGTTTGTCTTGACATGTTAAGAAAGTCCAATCAACCAACATTGCGCTTTGCTTCGATTCAACTTATGAGACCATTGACGATGATTTCTGTTTACATTTTGTTTGTCATAGGAAGGATCACGAGCCGCTATCTTGGCAGTTCGTGTCGGAGCGTGGTTCGCTGTCATCAGCCGCGTCGTCGTCACCCACACTGTGCGACCTCGCCGACCGCCTTGCTGACATGCGTCTCTCAATACTGGTACCACCGCGCGCTAAGCTCGGCTGCGGGTAATTATGAATTATTTTAATCATGGACTGGCTTATTATTTAATTATTTCATCAGAAAACTGGAATTGGACAGAGATTCATATCCAGCCTGTTAATAAATAATTAAAAACGCGAGATCACAACTTTAGTTTTACCACAGATAGTAAGATTCTACTATCGAACCTCGACTAAAGTAAAATACTTACACGCCTGATTATTTTAAATAGCAACTGTTTTAGTTTCAATACATTAAAATGAGTTAAATCACTACCAGAGATAGGTATTTTGAGTACGGTAAAAAAAATCCACGTATGTACTTGTCTGATTCTTTTGTGCACCGGGACAATAAGTGTTCAATCCGACATTACTATGGATGCCTGGGATAGCATACAGTTTGCTGGCTTAGTACTACTGTTAACCTATAACTTCATATGTCGTTATTGATATATGAAAAACATAGCTAAAACGCGTTTAAAAGCTGTTTCGTTTCATGCAAAGTACCTTAAAAGTAAAAAAAAATCGCGGTAAACCCTAATCCTAATAATTGTAGGGCTGTTAATTAATTTCTGTGTCCTAAAATATCTTGTTATTTTCTAGTATATGCAAGGGTCCCGACTGGAAGCCTGGTATCTTCGTTCAGTTCGTAAGGGAAGGTGGTATAGCGCGAGAAGCAGGTTTGCGGCCCGGTGATCAAATTTTGTCCTGCAACGGTCAAGATTTCGCCAACATCTCCTTCAATGAGGTACATATTATTCACAGTTTAACATTTTAATTTAATAAGACCCTAAACGAACAGTTCTCTTAGTGCTGAAGTATCTACTATTTAGGTAATTCTTTAGCAAATAAAATCCAGAATCAATTAACCGACCACTATATCTTTTATCAACTTAAACACTTGTTACTTTAGAGCTATACTAACTGAAACCTACTTAAAACTTAGATAAAATTTCTGTCATAGGCGATATCAGCAATGAAAGTGAGCGGTCGTCTGGAGTTGGTGATCCGCGAGGGCGCGGGCACGGAGCTGGTGTCTCCGGAGAGCTCGGGCTACAACAGCTCGGCGTCCTCTGCGG